ACGGTCCAGTTGTCCTGTGGTCACCAGAGAATAATAGTTTTTAATAGAAGGAACTAACTTAAAAGGGACATTTTGTTGAATGGAGCAGCGAACCTGTCTGTTATTCTCAGAGTCTCTGTCCTGCACGTTAATGATGCCCACCTCTGTACCACGTGGGGTGTCTTCTGGTATGGGGTTGGTCAGTGACTTAATGAACGTAAGAGGGGCGTTGTCATTTACATCCGTGATGTCAATTATTAATGAACAGGATGATACTAATCCCGGACCGTCCTTTGCTGTTATTTGCATTTCATAGGCAGACAACTCCTCATAATCTATATGCCCAGTTACTCTTATTTCACCAGTTGTCTGATCAAGGGAAAATACGTTATTACCCTCATCAGAAATGTGATCAAATTCATAAGTCACAACTCCGTTCACTCCCTCATCTGCATCAGTCGCGCTCACTGTGACCACCACAGTATCTAAAGCAGAGTTTTCAGGCAGACTGGTTTTATAAACGGCCTGACTAAACACTGGGGCGTTATCATTAGCATCCAGCACAGTGACGTGAACGACTGCAGAGCCTGATCTCTGAGGAGAGCCTCCGTCTGTTGCCACAAGCACAATCGTTAGCTCGTGTTGTTGTTCTCTGTCCAGCTCCTTCTCTAAAACTAACTCGCTGTATTTTCCTCCTCCACCTTTTGTAACAACATTTAATCTGAAGTTTTCATTTGCCTCGATACTATAGCCCTGGACGGCGTTTTGGCCGACATCTGCATCGTGGGCCTCATCTAAACGATAGCGACTACCTCTAACAGCCGATTCCCTAATTTCATATTTTATTGTGTTCTTTTTAAACAGTGGTGAATTGTCGTTGATGTCTTGAACGTGGATATTAATGCGGTGCAGTTCTAAAGGATTCTCCAGAACAAGCTCCTGCTTCAAAAGGCAAGATGCCTTTTTGCCACAAAGCCCCTCTCTGTCGATCCTATCAGCAACAATGATATCTCCCGTGCTCAGATTAATGTCACAATACCGTTTGCTGTTCCCGTCTGCATCAATGCGAGCCTTTCGAGCAGACAGTTTCCCCACCTCAAGTCCTATGTCTTTCGCTATATTTCCAACAACTGAGCCGCGTTTCATCTCCTCTGGGAAAGAATAAGCCACATCTCCACGGACGCTTCGCAGCAACAGAAGAAATATTCCCAAGAAGGTAACAAGGCCGACAACTGAAAATCCTTTGTGTCCCATTTTCCTGGAAGACCAATGGTGAAATCACCACAAAGAAGACATGGAAAACAAAAAAAGAACCAGGCAACAGGAATCCTCTTCAGACAATATGTGCAGTCCGACTATAAATGGTGCAAATTCGACGAACAATCTATCAGGGGTTGGAAATGTGCAAGCACGTACGGTAATATAGTCAAGCACCATTAAGTAAAGCTGGTGGACAGCGACACTTTGAGCAAAGTGTGGGTATTACAAAATAATTAAATGATTGGGTATTCTAGAAATAAAAGGAAAATGAAAGTAAAAAGAAAAAAGGGAAAATAATCAAAGTCCAGGCTGCAGTCAGATTCAATCATATATAGCCTAAAACAATATAAATTAAGGTTGATGAGATAATTATTGTACTGTACACAGCAGAGTGTAGGTTATTTACTCCTTTAAAGTGCTTTTATTGCAGAGCAGTGATCTGTAAGGATGGTTGATTTCAGCACCATGGATAGATCCCACAGCACAGAGGATCGCACCATTGAGCAGCGGCAGAGTTTATCTGGAGTCTCAGGAGATGTTTCACGAACAGACACAACTAAAATAATAGATTAGAGAAGTAAGACTGATCATCTAAACACCATAATCCAAATGTTTGATAAAAAACTGCTTCTTTAAGAAAAACTAGTGGTCTACAGTGGCTACTTGAAATAATGCTATGGGCAATAGAAAATATAACATTCTGATCGTTGCATTAAAAACAATTCAGATCGCAAAGCATAAACAATTGGATATTATTACCTAAACCTTGTCCCACTACTAAGGCAAGGATTTATGGAAAATGCTGTGAGTCTCCTGGGGAACAAAAGTCACCTACTGCGTCTCATTTGATTGATAATGTGCCCCTGTTTCTCGAGCTTGTTCATAAGATTTCAAAGTGGTGGTGATAGATGGATTTTCATTCAATGGCCAAGTTAAGGGAAATAGCAGGAAGCAGTGTGTAGCCTAAATGATAAGAAAAGAAGTAAACAAGTACAGGCGTTTCAATGGGAGACATTGTGAAGGTTTTTGTAACATGTCCTATAACATTAGAGTGAGGTTTTCATTCTATTAACATGAAACTAAATAATTGTAGGGTTATGTTTGACTTTTCTTTATTTTTGTGTTAAGTTTGAAGTGTAAATTGTTTAATTAAATATTTAGAATTTTGACTAAAGAGTGAAGATGAATAAAAAAAATAAGTTTAAGCCATTTGAGATCTGATTTTAATTTGTTTGGGTTTAAAAACAAACATTGCTGAAACAAGCACAGGCATCTATCTACCTCTAAGAATCATGGATCAAAATATCTGCATCACTTGAGCAGCCAAGCACAACAAAACAATAACAACCAACATAAGGCCACAAATAAATAGCCCTTGTTATCATAACAATAGTCCTGTTGACCATCCAGATGTCCAAAGGGCTGTATACAATCCTGCGTGGTAATCACATTAAAAATAGACAAAGTGGAGGATAACACCAATCACAGAGGTAAAATATAAAGCAGCTCACACCACTAAAAGCTAATTACATTCTTCGACAAAGTTAGTAAGCCTCAGTGTGATGTGGTATGTGATGGCACACAATGTTTCTACAACAAGTCTTCAGTTATGAGCACCATATTAATAAGTGATGTATAAAGTTCCAATGCCATTATCCCTCTGGAGAAAGGTGGATATCAAAAATGGAGTGATGATTTCAACAAAAGCACATTTCAAGATGGAAGCCTGTTACATATTGGAAGGATTGATGGTAACTTCAATTGGTAAGACTTTTACATCTGTCATCATGTGAACACATGAGATATTTTTGACCACAATAAAGCAGTAAAATAAAACATTAATGCGTTTTCATTCATAGAATTATTCCTACCTCTGGAGAATCATCAACACCTCCAAACATATCTACGAAGTCAGAAGGACTTTTCCTCAGAGTCTGGTCAGCAGGCAGTGTGTTGTCATTGTAAGATGTCACGAACTTAAAGTCACTGGTTCKRGAACCTGTTGTCAGGTAGGCGTCATAATTGTAAGTRCTGCGTAAAGTTCCYGTGCCATCAACATCTGCGTAATTAGGAGGRAGATAAGCGCTGGGGATGGCGACAGCTCCGTCAAACAACATTCTGGGTTTTCTCCTGCGACAAAACCTCACACCCAGGATGATGATGATGAAGGTCAGGAAGAAGGTGGAGACAGAGACCAGCGCGATGATCAGGTAAGAGGTCAGTTTGGAATTCTTCTCATCATAAGAAATGTCCTTCAGCTCTGGCACCTCAGCCAAGTTATCAGAAATAAGTAAATACATGGAACAGGTGGCAGACAGAGAGGGCTGTCCGTTATCTTTCACCGCCACAATAAGRTTCTGTTTCATGCTGTCAGACTCAGAAATGTCCCGCTGTGTCCTGATCTCTCCGCTGTGGACGCCAATAGTGAAAAGTCCCGGATCAGTGGATTTGACTATATGATAGGACAGCCAGGCGTTCTGTCCGGAGTCCGCGTCCACCGCGATCACTTTGGACACCAGAGAGCCTCCGTGTGCAGCTTTGGGGACCAGCTCGGTCATGAAGGAGTTGCCCTCCGGGGCGGGGTACAGTATCTGAGGAGAGTTGTCRTTCACATCCGATATGAACACGCTGAGGGTCACGTTGCTGCTGAGCGGAGGAGAACCGTTGTCTCTGGCCATCACGTGGACTTTAAAGCTCCTGAACTGTTCATAATCAAACGACCTCACAGCGTGGATCACCCCCGTGTCTCCGTTCACTGACAGATAGGAGGACACCGGGGCACCGTTCACCTCACCAGCTAACAGAGAATAAACCACTGTACCGTTTTGTCTCCAGTCGGGGTCTCGAGCAGTAACGGAACATAAAGTGGAGCCAGGTTTGTTATTTTCAGTCACATATGCGCTGTAGGACTGTTCCTCAAACACAGGTGGGTTGTCGTTGATGTCAGCTACAGATAACTGAACAGTTTTAGAGGAGGACAGAGGTGGAGAGCCCTCGTCAGTGGCAGTGATTGTAATGTTGTAATCTGACACTAGTTCACGGTCCAGTTGTCCTGTGGTCACCAGAGAATAATAGTTTTTAATAGAAGGGACTAACTTAAAAGGGACATTTTGTTGAATGGAGCAGCGAACCTGTCTGTTATTCTCAGAGTCTCTGTCCTGCACGTTGACGATGCCCACCTCTGTACCAGGTGACACGTTCTCTGGCATGGGATTGGTCAGTGATTTTAGATATATAACTGGTGCGTTATCATTAACATCAATAATATCAATCATGACTTTAGAGTCAGATGAAAGTCCGTAACCATCTTTGGCATCAATGCGCATTTCATATTTAGAATTACTCTCGAAATCTAGTGGACCTATGACTTTTATCTCTCCRGTTTTACTGTTCAGTGAAAAAACCCTTTTAGCTCTTTCTGAAATACGACTGAATTCATATGTCACCTCCCCATTGATTCCCTCATCTKCATCACTGGCACTGACTGCGACAACAACAGTATCAACGGCAGCGTTTTCCGGTAGACTGGCTTTGTAAACAGCCTGGTCAAACACCGGTGCGTTATCATTAGCATCTAACACACTAACATGTATATTAGCAGTTCCGGATCTTTGTGGGAYGCCACCATCAACTGCAATCAGCATGAAATTTAAATCGTGCTCCTTTTCACGGTCAAGCTCTTTGTCTAACACCAACTCGACGCTCTTAGATCCATCGCTGTCGTCTCKAACWGATAAAACAAAATGTTCRTTCTTTTCTAAATTGTATTGTTTTACTGTRTTTTGTCCGAGGTCTGCATCGTGTGCTTCGTTGACACGATATCGAGCTCCYTTGTCGGYTRATTCWCTTAYTTCYARYTTWATTGTATCCTTTGGAAAAACGGGTGTATTATCATTCACATCCTGGATGAGCAGTGAAATGCGGTGCAGCTCCAGAGGACTCTCTAAGACYAATTCGAATTTAAGCAAACASGAAACCTTCTCCGCACATAATTCCTCTCTGTCAATCTTTTCCCTAATGACAAAATCTCCAGTTTTTAGATTAATATCGCAGTAGTGCTGGTGGTTTTCCTCGGTGTCAATACGGGCTTTGCGAGTGAATAATTTCCCTACTTCCAAGCCGAGGTCCTTTGCGATATTTCCAACAATGGACCCGGGCCTCATCTCCTCCGGAACTGAGTAGCTGAGGTCTGCCGTGGTGATSTGGACGCAAAGARCAAATCCGAAGACCAGACTAAGCAAYGACTTCCTTCTGAGGTCCATTATTGTTTCCAGAGCGTAGACACAGCCACAAAAATCTACTTGTCCCTAATGAAATTACAACGCGATGGWAAAAATCAACATACGTCGCTCCTACAGCAATGGCAGCTCTCGACTTAATGCTTGGAATACTCCTTTTGTCGTGGGTGGAGAAATTATCTTCATATGTGCTAGTGAGCAGCGACGCCCTGAGTTTATTTGCAATATTACAAATAAATAAATACTAGGTAAAAGTTCTATTCCACAGCTGCTGCCATGCTTAGTAAGAATGCCATATATTCCAAGTGAAATTAATCGTTATATTGTTTTTATTTTAACAGGTGGGTTATAGAGGATATACCATTCAGCACCATGGACAGCGATTGAACAGCGATGGCTTGAGCCAATTTTGTCATATTCAACAAAACCGCCCTTAAAGTATTAACAAGACAAACTGATCACCGAAAATTCATAATAAAATAATACTTAAGTTACATATCTAGTGTAAAGGGATAAATTACATGTTATCTAATGTGACAAAATCAAAAACATTTTGTTAATTTCAAATATCATGAGACCCATAAAATAATTTGTTGTTTTCACAATTACTTAATCTAGAATGGGAGGTTGTTCTTTTGAAAGATGTGATTCTGACAAATGCTGTATAAACAATAGATACATGTAAGAATAAAGTTTAATGTGCACACTGTAAGTGATGTTAAGCTGATGTCTTGAAAAGGTCAGTAAACTACATATTTATTAAAGAAAAGGTTCAAGTGTCAACCAGTTAAGGAAAAGGATAACATGTTAAAGGTGGTGATAAACATCTGAAAAATACCATTTTATCAAACTACGGTTCAAAATTGCAGGTCGCCCAAGCACAGATGTTTAGTGAACCCGTATTTCAGCAAGTGCATCACTGAATGAAAGCTTTGATTTATATGATGAGAGTAAAAGATAAAGCTATGCCCCAAAATGAATGATCGATGCAGGTATATTTTGTCATCAAAGATTAACAGTAATTATACATTTCAATATAACATAGAGATGAAAGGCCGATGAGCGGTTTGGTACAAAATGTCTATTGGTTGACAAAAAAATGTACTTGGATTCTATGTTAAGAGTGACTTTTTAATAATAATTAAAGACCATGTATTAGTGTAAAGCAGGTCTGAGTTACACAATGCCATGTATTTAAATGTGAAAGGAAAAAAGTTCACCTCATATTTTCACAGGTWAGTTAAATACCACAGGTAAGTCCCCTGTGCTTAAAAAAAAACTACAGTAAAAGTAAGCCTATTTGCTTCTGCTACAACTTTAGGAGGTACAGAAAATACCAACATTTACATACAAGGTTGCTTCAAATTCATGATGATGAGTGGCCATAATCAGCTTTAAATGTTACATTTAAAATGTATGCCGCCTACCTCTGGAGAATCATCTGGTGTACCAAACACATCAGCAAAGTCAGAAGGACTTTT